GAGGTGATTATCTTGGATTAGCTGGGATCGGGTGATCCAAGTCATGTTTGGAGGCTCGAATGAGGATTATTAGAAAGACGGGAAAGATTTATGTGAAAGAAAGAAACAGGGCTGTCTTATAACCGGAGTTCATTCTAGCGGCGTCTCCCGAACAGGCAGGAGGAAGTAGGCTGAGTTGCGTCATATTCAGGTAGTGTTAGATTGGTTCCTTTAAAATCTATGCGGTGGATGGTAGTTTTGAGTCCCTCAACTGACGCGCAGTGTCTCCCTGTACCTTTCAGTGTTCTTTCAGCCACATACGTGTAAGCGTCTTGGGATGAGTGCGAACACTGGATGTTTTCTTTGCATATCGTTGAAAACCTAAGCGATCGGTGTAAATGCGTGTTTGAGGGCTTGCGGTATGACCGGACCATTTGAATGCTATACTGAGTGCTGGAGCAGTACATGTGTCTTAACACTGCAAAATATTTCGCGTCTGCCTGCCCAGGATTTTGAGGTGGCGTGGCTTTCCTCCAAGATGTCGGATGCTACAAGTTACGTCGCCTGTACGTGGGATGTGTATCAGTGATGCAATGTACCGATAACATGTCATTGACTGACATGATTACCATGACTTTATGCCATTCAGGAAACAAGTTAACACTTACATGACTTATGTAGACCCATGACTTCTACCTGAGTAGCCGATACCAAGGTGACAGCAGTTGCAAACAAATACTGATAGAAAAAAAATAGAAAACATGTCATGTCACAATCACGACGAATTTCAAAATAGTACAGACGAGCGCATTCGATCCGCATGTCATAACGCCTGCGCTTGCTTGTGGTGCAACTTACTCTGTGACGAAAATAACATAAGCACGACTTCCCCAGCAAGTAGCCCAGGGTGGGGCAAGTTTTCTCATTTGGAATGTCATTCAGAAGCCAGTTACCAAAAACCAAGAGTGCTATCCAAAACTTTACTGCTACATATGAAGCAAAAGACTATACCTGTCTGCAGATCTAATAGTCTTAGTTCTATCCTCACGAGTTATAACAGGCGGGAGTTCAGAGCAAAAACTGATACAACTTTCCCTCCTATTTTGATCACTCGAGATGTCTATTTACATTTAGCGAGACAGCATGTGGGCGAATTCATTCGCAGATTATTGAGACCCGCATGTGCTCAAATGAGGATCGTAAGTAAAATGTTCCTGGACGTGAGGGACAACTGTCAAATTTTCCAGAAATTTTGCGATTCTTTAGCAAAATTCCTGCGAAATCACCAGCATGTAGTGTAAGCTTTTCGGCTGGCGGAGAGGTATGAACTCTAGGCCTTCTCCTTAGCCATGTCACAGGTTCAAATACATACGCGAATCACATGTCTAATACATTTGGCGTGGTTTTGTGTAAAAATTGCTTATCTGCCGAATTCTGCGTGCGACTGGTTTCATTATGAGCGTCTGGTAATGCAAACATTACTTATGATCTTAAGAAGTAGGCAATCAAAGTTATCAAGCTCTGAAATGGAAAAATGCAGAATTTTTATTGGACAGCATCATCCACGTTGCAAAATAAATAGAATGTGGGCATTTAGTCCTAAAAGCCTGCCCTGATGTCAACAGACATGCCTTGCGATGTCGCACTTATATGGATACACGTTACTCTTTCGTGCGCAAGAAAACGTAAACTTGCAAAGATGCTTTTATACGCTCGCCATAAGAGAGGAAACTTTTGGAAACAAGTGCATGAAAAGAGGAATTTGCAGCTAGCAAACCATGTATCTGGCTGGCGTTAGCTTTATTATGCTCACTTTTCAGTGTTGGTCGTTATTTGTGGTCTGGCCATGCTGGATATCCGACGGCGCGGGTACTGCTCCGAGCTCAGCTGGCCACTGCTTATGAAGCTCTACGTCGTACGCCAGCTGGGGTCTATCAAAACGTACTTGATGCATTGCAAGTTCGAGAAAGATGTTCGCCACTTCCAGGAGGTAAGGCTGCAGGAGAGGTGTATTGAGCGTTGGGCGTTGGTTTGTGGATGTTTCCCGCTTGCCTCCTGCGGAACAACATTCCGATCGTTCATCTCCAGTCGAATTTCACAATCGGCTGATAGAACAAGGCCCCTCACAACAGGCCCTGCCTTTATGGGTTTTCGTCCTAGGAACGGTTCGCTCACTAAAGACCAGTTGGTTCTCGCCTACCATTGGAACTTCCTCAAGTCCAACAATTTGCTGACCTATTGGAGAAGAAGGAGAAACCACCGTGGTAAAAGTGGAACGACCGTGGCAAAAATGAATAAAATATGGTGTGGGTGGGGAGCAGGTACTGCACCTTTCACCTCATTTGAGTACAAGCCGTGTTTGTGGGGCGCACCCAATCATCTTGAACCAGTTCAACCTCATAGCAAAGCTCGAGATAGTGGCCGCTGGAGCAAAGCGTGGATGGTGCACACAAACTTGTTGAGTGCGTTGCTTACCATGGTATGATCTTCAAAGGCGTACCGAACTGCGGCAGACTTGGCAGGTGTCCAGGCCTGCCCCTGCCGCGCTGCTTTGAGAGACGGCATGGTTGCATGCAGACATGTTGAAATCAAATACCGTATTTGTTTACGATTCCATACCACATGGTACGTGTGTCCTCCCAGTCAGCAAAACTTCACATTATCAAAAGTGTGTTGGGACGATTCAACGGGAATGGGAGGAAAATGGGACGATTCAACATCCGTTTAGATCGGAGTTTTAACAGGGGCCTCCGGCGCCGAAGGTCGGACCGCCTATTCAATGCACGTGGTAGGAGTGATTCCAAGCGGCGGCAAGCAGCGGCTCGCGCAGAATGCGGTCGAGCCGCTCGGTGGCGCCACCTCGTGTATAAAGAGATGGAAGCACAGTACGAGGCGATCTATATCAGACAGGCCTTTGCATTAATAAGGCGGGGGTCGTAATGGCCAAGTGTTTAGTGCGTCTCCCACGTAGGAATGTCCGGGTTCGAGTCCCGGTTGTGCTATGATGACCACTGAGCGCTAATATGGCGAATGTAGTCGCTGGCGCTCCATAAGAGGCATGACGACTTGCGTTTTGCCCTCTTAAAAAAGAAAGAAGAGCACTGACGAGGTGCAACGATCGGGAAGACATCCTCCAGAAAAAGCACGAGTTTAAGGGAATATTTGCACAGTTTTTAATGCTATAAAATGACCCCGAAGAGCTCTTAAATCTTTTCCGAGCTGCTTTCTGGTGGGCAGGCTTCTATATTGATCAGGTTATATAATTTGCAACACGACTTTACTGGTGCAAACTTTTCTACCTCAACGTTTAACCTTTCCCCAAACCTACAAACCTACAGCATTATTTCCAAGTCTCGAAACTCTAATTCAAAGTGATCTGCAACCGATATCTTTTGGATATTCAGGGGTAAGGGAGAGCTCACATGCGCTCGGCTGGGATCCATTTGAGCCCCAGATGGTTTTCCAAAACAACTTCCGGGCGGCCTTATGTGCCGTCAGTTTGAAAAGACCGCAGCAAGTGGAATAGCCGGTGTGTTGGTGTTAAAATTTTAGTCCTTGTGAGATCGCTGGTGTATGGTAGGCCAATGTCAGGCCATGCCTGTCAGTGAAGGCAATTCCTAGGGCATCGCTCAACCTGATGCACCAAAGGAGTGTTAGGTGAAGCTGAACATCTCCGAAAAGACGCTTTGACAAGACAGTTACATTAAAAATTAGGATTACCTCCTTTAACCTTGTAAGGTTACGGAACTATGGCGGGTCAAAGACAGATCGTGGCTGTCTTCAAAGACAACTCCTAGGCAATCGTTCAATCTCATGCAGCAGAGATTTGCAATTTGCAGGTTTTTGGTCACCGTGACCTTCTGAGGTCAACAAAGGTGACTGAACTGAAATGAACGCCACTGGGCCATGGCTTGGCAGAGGTATCTTGCTTAAATATGGTTGCATAAGGAGGTCCGAGGGAATGACACTGATCCGGAATGTGTCCTTGTTTGACCTTATTTGACTCGGAGATCATGATCAAGGCATCTCAAGCTTTGACACAAGTGGGTGATAATACTGACCTATCTGTCTTGTAAAGTTGGTGTCGGTCTTGAGGGGTTAATTACCCCCCACCGTGTACCGTCGCATTCAACCGACCACCCAGTTACGTATAAAAAAGGAGCGTTGCGAGCGGAAAATCTGTTCTATAATAAAGTTTTCCTCTTGCTACATGTCAAAATTCGTCACTGGCTTTCGCGCTGTATCTTGCACCTTGCCCCCCCCCCCCCCCTCCCGAAGAGCTCTGAGGCTGTGGATTCGTGACCGACCGCTGATTCTCAGCTCAATGCACCGAACTGTTCTCATGATAACCCAAGACGCCCAGAACGTCCACCAAAACAACACCCTGGACGACCTAGCCTTCAGAAGAGAAAGATGGACATGCGGGTTGTGTGAGACATGGATAAACAGCACCGCAGCGATGTAGGCGAAGATGTAGCGGAAGGCGTCGTGACCTGACGCGGAGCGACAGCACGAAATGGACGTTGCGTTCTCCGCTATTTCTGACAGAGCAGTAGTGACCTCGTTAAGGTTAATATTATAATGCAAAAGAAGGTTCTATCTCATGAGGTAGTCATTTGGACAGTTGTAAACAAATGGCTTGCCGAGGCAACCGGCAAAGATCAGTTTGATGTGCGGACTTTGACTGCGCTATGAAACATATTTACTGAGCGAAATTAGAACATCGTTTTCCTTTCCATGTAGCTAGCAGGCCAGGTTCGACCTGCGGCTCGCTCCGACGACCGTTTTCTTCAGTGTTTGTCTCGACAGCACTAGCCGGAAAGGATGACCGTGTACGGTCACATCAAGGAGGTTGGTGTCAATCCTGATCTATTTCGTCCATTTGCAGGTGCAATCCCAGTTCCTGATGAATCGGATTCGTCGGTGTGAGAACACGGCCTACGGTCGAGACAATGGCTTTAAATCCATGCATGCCCCTGCCGACTTCCTTCGCAACCACCCGATCACAGAATATTCAACAATGGAAAGCTATGTCAACCGAATGACAGACGGAGAAAAGTCAGCACTTCTCGGGGACGAAGATCGCATATTCATGTTCATTATATCATCAGGAACAACGGGCAAAAGTAAAAAAATTCCTCTGTCGGATCAGGGAGCAAAGGACATGCAGTCTCAGCTATACTATGGTCCTTACCGGTGGTGTTTACAACGAGACCTCGTTCCGTGGAGTCTGAAGAAAACGATGAGTGTCAACAATGGCCACACTGTCCAGTACACCAAGTCAGGTCACGTATTTGGCGTTGCATCCAATGTATTTTTCTCAAAGGCGATGACTTTGTTTGCACCTCTCTACACAAGCCCTGTCATCAGTATGCAGGTGAAGAATGAATTTGAATCGCAATACATCCACACTCTCTTTGGGCTTCGAGACAAGCACATAACTGTGATTGCTACCGTCTTTGTTCATAATTTCCTTGGCATGATGCGCCGAATGGAGGTCTTTCAGAATGATCTCGTAAACGACATTCGTCGTGGTCGTATCAAAGACGACCTGAACATCTCTGAACACGTTCGTGCCGAACTGAATGCACAGCTCACGCCCACGCCAGAAAGAGCCGAGGAAATCAAAAATGAATTCGCGAAAGGTTTCAAGGGCATCATTCCACGGCTGTGGCCAGATGTGAAAAGCATCAGTGGTCTTTGGTCAGGAAGCACAAACGAGATGTACTACAAGGAAGCCAAAGCTCTTACCGGTCCAGATGTCCCTATAGTCAGCTTCATATACAGCGCGTCAGAGGGCTTTATGGGCTCCAACCTCGAGTGTACCCGCCCCGGACCGCCCAGGTACACTCTCATTCCGGACGTTATGTTTTTTGAGTTCCTGCCGATTGTCAACGACCGCATTCCCGATCTGGACGAGATCAACCCCAGGGAGCTCCTCCTCAGTGAGCAATTGGAATTGAACAAAACGTACGAGGTCATCATCACCAACTCCTCCGGCTTCTATCGATTCCGGCTCGGGGATGTGGTCCGAGTGGTGGGCTTCTACCAGCAAGCTCCGCAGATCGAATTCCTCTTCAGGTGGGTAACTCAAACAGATCAAGCAGTCAGAGTCCGCACTGCCGTGGCGTTCACCAGTTTTGTTCTGATGCCAATGGAACCGTCCTGACGTGAAATGCTGTTGGAACATGTAAAATGAAATGCGTAAAGTTGCGAGCTGGATTGCCGTCGGACACCTGTCTAACGTGACCTTTCGTCATGTGACCAGGTCAGGCCAGAACCTGAACGTGAACGCAGTGAAAATCTCCGAGGAGGTGCTTTTCCGCGCCCTGCGCGAGGCGGCAGACCGCTGGTCGTCCACTCTCAAGGACTACACGGCGGCCGGCAGCCAGTTCACGCCCAGTCATCAGGGCCTGCTGGACCCGCACTTCCTCCTCTTCCTGGAGCTGGACGGCCCGGTCCTGACTGAGGAGCAGACGGGGTTGGTAAGTGGACCGGGCGCCGACTCTCCTGCAGTGGCGGTGCGCGTTTCGGCAGCATGTGACGTCAGTAACCGGCCACCCTGGACCAGCTTCCCAATTCCCTTCTGAAGCAACCTTTGCCCTTAGATTAGTCACCGGCACATGCAAAGCATGGCTATAAACACGCGCCCGGGTGCCCGGCTGGATATTCTTCGCTCGGGTGGGGGTCAATTTAACCCCTCCCCCCTGAGATCTTAGGAACTAAGAGAGCTAGAAGCACTAACTTCACAGGATGTGTTGACCTGTACGTGCACTCACTTAGATCAAAGCTTGAAGTTCCTAGAACATGACTTTCGGGTCAAATAAGGTCAAACAATGTCAAATTCCAGGTTGGTCTCCAAAGGGTCCCCAGAACCTAGATAACGCGGCGTGGCTACACCACGCCGTTTGAAAACCATTTCGGAAGACCTTCGGGGGATCATTTTGACCCCCACCCCCACCCGAGCACGTGTTACATCACGACTCACTTCCTCGGACGACATTTTGTGATAGCGCCGATACAATGTTACTCGATGCGCAGTTTGTGAGCTCTGGTCTCAAGAGCCGAAGTCAGCTGCGCCTCAGACCACACCACCCACGTTGAGTGTTAGCATAGTCCATGTTTGCAGGTGGATGATATCCTTCTGCAGCAGGATGAAGAATACGCCACATTCCGGAAACTGGGGAGTATCGCCAAGATCCGGGTGTACCAAGTGCAGCCGGGTGCCTTCTCGCGCTTCCGTGCGCACCTGCTGGCGACCACGGACGTCACGGCCGACCAGTTCAAGATGCCCAGAGTGCTGAAGAGCAGTGACAGGGTGGACTGGTTCCTCGAGAATGTCCGCAACTGAGCCCTGAGGTGCCGATCACTGCCTAAAATTATGAACTTCTAGTTAACCCAATCCATAGCTTGTGCTGACGGCCGATTCGCCGTTTTTAACAGCCGACTCTCAGTGTCTCAAACTAGACAGTACAAAATACCAAAAAAGATGGGGATTCATCTGGACGTGCGGACGTGTTTCAACTGTTGTGATGCGACTGACATGAGATGGGCAATGGCTTTCAATGCAGTCCAACTTTGCAAGTGGCACTTGCATTGCAGTGTCATGAATACCTGCCTAGGGTTTAATTCCTGGCCTTGTTTACTTCGTTGGCTGTGCCATGATTAAGCATCCTGTCCACAGCGACGAGAGGCATTGACAGCGCAGTAGACTTATAATTTTCCATTTTGGATTTTGCAGTGAATTAGTGGATCGCTACGGTGAGTTGCAGCACTTTTAGGCAGCTTTTGCCGACAATTCCATCGGTTGCCATGGGAGATGACGAGACGCTTTAAGGCAGACACGAGGCCCTGGAAAAGACGCAGGGTAGACGGCAGGCGCAGGCAGGGCTATACATATATATATATATATATATATATATATATATATATATATATATATATATATATATATATATGTATGTATATATATACACATAGATAGATAGATAGATAGATATGTGTATATATATACACATAGATAGATAGATAGATAGATAGATATATATATATATATATATATATATATATATATATATATATATATATATATATATATATATGTATATATATATAATATGCACCTTATATGTATACACCCTTTAAATATATATATATATATATATATATATATATACATAAATACATATATATACATATATATATATATATATATATATATATATATATATATATATATATATATATATGTATGTATATATTAAACCCCAGCCCCTTGCGTTACATACATTTGTATATAACGCAAGGGGCTGTTGACGGACCCAGGGGCGGTTGAGAACTGAATAGTGGGCAAAACTGTTTTCACTATTAAAACATCGTAGAAACTGCTATTTCGAATCTTCAATCATTTCATCGTGGCGAAGGCGGGTATGTATTATGCAGTGTGTTGCAGGTATAGTGAGATCTTTGCCTCGGAAAGAAGCAGTAGCGGTGGAGTATTTATGGAGAGGGTGAGGTGGAGGTGACATGGGGGCCCGAAAGGCCGACTGTAGGCCACACAGGATTACGGCCCGTAGGACTGACCTGAAATATTGGACAGGGGGTCTCTTATACCGTTTGAGGACCCCTGAGACATCGCAACACAAAACAGTTGGCTACACGTCGGTCTGAAACCTGGGACCCCATTATCCAAGCAAGGACAAGGCTGGGGCCCATGGTTTGCGTTGATCTGGGCGCCTGAAACGATTATTGGGCCCCATTGTCGGTCACGGGTCCACGGTGCCTAACAGTGGGCCATGGGTCGGCCAAGTGTTCCCGAGTCGGTCACGGGCTTTGTTTGGTGAGACCGAAAAAGGGCCCAGCGCCCCCTTGGGACCGAAGATCAACCGCTCGATTGGAAGGCTGAAGAGGCCATAGGGCCAGAGGGACTCCTCGTAGGTTGCAATAAGAATTTCCCCTCCCCCCCCCCCCCCTCCCGTTGGGCCGTGATCTTCAAGGCCAGTCATAGGGCCTCTGCATCGGTTGGGAAGCCGTGGGGCAGTGCGGGCCTCTCATACTATCGTTTGGGCACTCAGCCTCAATCAGTGCCAGTTCAGTTCTGAAGCGCATAGTGTGGCCGGATGAGTCCAAATTGAACGGGCTTGGGTACGCCTCTGGGGCATGCGCTGGGTATTTAACAAATAGCAAATACGGCAGTGGAAAAAGCTGCGCGCTGTTCGGTTATCTGAAAACCAGGCATCCCGCGCTGTACGCTCTTCACTGTTGGAGCGTTTGTCATTCTCAGGCCTGGATTTACCACCGGGACGCCCATCTGACTTTCGGCGGATGAAGTCGCATGCCCAGCACCGAACTAACCTTCTGAACCGGCCTCGGTGACCGCTCGCTCATTGCGCCAGCTCCTGTGGAATGCTCTGGACCTGCAGCACGCCCAGATCGAGGGCGTCTTCAGCCGGCAGCAACTCATTCACTTAACTTGCAACTTAGCCAGTATCGACTGGCCAAGGGTCGATGGAGGAATTTGATGTCGACAATACTGTCGCACTATGCTCCATCTGCCGGAAGACATATGCATTCGCCCAGCATGTCATAAACGTCCTCTGCCCTCAAACAGCACGCTCCCAAGGTGGATACTTGGCTTCCAAGTTCCAGCTCAATGCTCTGGCAACATCCGTGCGGAACTCCGGATGCTCAAGCCGGCGGTGGATATCATCGACCCGTTGGAGTGTATCTGATCCTGCTTCTGCGTTAGTGAGATGACATTGCACGCTCGACAGTCATCTAACTTAAGCCTGGTGTCAAACAAGGTACATCGTTGTTAACTGATCCACGACATTCATTATGAAAGGCCAAAGGTTTATGGAAGTGGACTGTGATGCGCTCTTAGGCTGAATTTGGTTAATGATCGAGCAGGCCTTATCCAGTATTTGCCAGGCAAAGATGGAGCAAACCAGCGGTACCTCTTGCACCATGAAACTAGCAGCCGTCAGGGCCTAGCTCTGGTGGATGACTAGGCCCCAGTGTGCATTGACTGGACTATTCCCGTTAGATGGAGTCGTACGAATGCGCCTGGCCAGGTTCGGGTCGTGAGCCCCGGCCGAGGAGCTTGGAGCACCTTATAAGCTTCTTGCACAGCTATACCCGACTGCCCCTCTAAAAATATTTCAGTCAGAAAGGTGGGAGATACGCCCGCATTCGTTTCGGTACACCATCATAGGATGCATCGATGCGACCATTTTGTTCCGTCGGGTGATCTGCCAGACCGAGGCCCAATCCAAATGCCAACTGGGGCTCAGAAGTTCCCTGAATTCGCTTGGAGCAGGTACCCCGCAGGGCGGCAGCTGTGATGCACGAAATAAACTGGCAACCCAAGGGAACAGTTTTGAGTCCATTTGGTGCTTTCAAAGTCATAGGTAGCCCTTACGCCAAGCACTTCTCTGGCGTAAAACGCGGCGGATCGTCCTCGAATAGCTTCATTCCTGGGTCCTATATTACCGCCTCGGTTCTTGAAATGCGTTCAAAATCAGGCATAAATGTCAAGTTTTTTCATTCATTTATAATTACTCTGACCCTTACGAATCATTACACCCACCAAACTTGTAATACGTGCGATCTCTCATGTCCGTTATCACGCGTGCGGCCGTCTTCGCGTTACACGTGTACCCCCCGTGACTTTAAATAGGGATCCGCTAAAAAGTGCGTTGTCTGTACGGTTTCGCCTGATATTTATCGCCTTGATCCGCTCAGTCTCACCGAGCTATTGGTGACAGTAAGGTTTGTTTTGTTTTTAAGGATGAAATTCACGAAATGGCATGACGTGATACTGACGGGAAATAATTTGATCTGACATACCGACAAAAAATAGACACTACATCGGGGGTTTTAAGCGCCAAGACGCATTTCGTCACCCACGGTACCCTCCACTTAGATAACCTGGTCTCTCAGTCATCCTTAACATCAGGGTCAGGGTTAAACAAACAGAAGCTTCATGCTAACTTATATCATAACGATCAATCGTGTGTTTTACTCGGCAAAATGTAGTTCATCACGCAAAATACTCTACATCACGGCAGCGTGATAGATAACAAGCGCACCCCTTTTTGCTGACGGAATAACCATGAGCGGCAGCAAGAAACGCTTAGTTGATGGGGTACGAGGACGAGATTGGGGCATCGGTGAGCCAGGTTACCCCACGCCCTGGAGCTTCTCGCTTTACTACATAAGATTTTTAGTGCACCATGGTTATAACTGCATGAAGTTTGTTGCTCTGTTTCTCGCTCAAGTTGTGACTTTAGTTGGTGGTGCGAAGAAGCACGATTTGCATCTCGATGGGGTGTTACAGTGTTGTTAGGTGCACGGGTGCGCGTGACGGACATACGTTTTCATGGGTCACTGAATAACCGGCCTCGATGGAAACTAAGGGAGAAAATAGCATTATTATGCATTGTAACTAAAGCGTTGCTAGACAGCATGCACTTAAGTTAAGTCGAGCATACTCAATTTTGTTGGGAAAGCTGGACCTAGATCGGCGGTTGGTGACTGTTATTTGGATCGGAGCTCTTGGTTCAGACCCAGGCTCGCAGGTCCGGCTTAACCAACTTCAGGAGGGCGCGATGTTAAATGACCAGCCCTTTGGGTCCCTCGGGTCTTCCAATCGAGCCCTTGATCGTCGATCTGGGGAGGTGGCTTAGTGATAGAGTGGTTTGCGCCTTGGACCACCACGTGGGGGTCCAGGGCGCGGCAAAGGGCGTTGCTTTTTTCATTTAAAAATCGGTATGGAGGGCCCTTTGCCCCCCCCCCTCCCCCCGATGCAAACGTGGTGACGGAACATATCCCTCGTGCTACTACTCTTACCTGTACGTTGATGGAACGACGGAACTTCCTCAGACCAAGTAACATCAAAAACTGGGTAGTTTTTTGGTGCACCACAGAAGTTAAAATCAAATTGTTGTACATCAAAGCTCGCAAGACTTACCAGTAGGTGACAAAGAAAGAAGTTGGGCGTGTGGCACCAAGCGCTTGTCTTGCCAGATAGTCATCAGTAAAGGGTGGTGATGTGCAGTGGGTTGGTCATGGCTGGCCAACGAAAGACACAACCTTACCGTGACGATGCTGTTGTGCGGGTACTATAGGACGGCAGTGCAACGCTCACATAGACAGACATGACCTTTTTTGTTAAAATCACCCCTTGACAGCAAAGAGCAAAGAGCTAACAGCGGCTTGCCCGCACGTAGAGTGATGGCCATCATACGGGGCTTGGATAAATGCTTATAATCAAACTGGAAGATTGCGCTTCGGTGCATTCGGTAGGATTACTATCAACGGGCTATCAGCTGACGGTACACCACACCGTTC